ATTGAAGAGTCTTCCTCCAATCTGGATGCCACATTCTTCTTTATACTGTTCTGCTTCCCAGATGATTTACTCAGCTGAATAGATAAAGAGAAAGATACAGCCCTAACACCTTTCCCTATTTTAAACCATGAAGTGTTTCCTTGCTCTGTTCAGAAAATAGCTTCTTGGTTTCACATGAACACAAGTATTCCAGGATTCCTATTCTTCTCAGTATTAGCCATAATTTGTTATAAGCCACACAAATCCCTTTACATAGCTAATAAAACACAAACAGACATTCTCCTGGTTTTCTCTGCTTTCAGCCAACATGCATCAGAAATCAGCAATGATATCCATGGTACCAAACTCTCTTCTAATATAAACCCAGCCTGAACTTTGGAAAGTTCTCTGCCAATGTACTGTTCTAGCCATTTTGGGGTGATTTGCAGCAATATTTTGCACATTAAAAAATACCAAAATACATATATGGTAGGATTCTCTCTTACTGCTGTCAGGCCATAATCTTCTCATTGTTGTGTACTGTTGAGTTGGAATCAACTCATAACTGACCCTCCAGTGGGTTTTCAGAGGCAGTAAATCGCATAGGTGGAGAATGCTCATCTTTTTTTCTTGGAGAAGCTGGTGGATTCAAACGGAATGCCTTGGTGTTCTGGAAAGTCCATTCATGTTGTTATGTGCTCTTTGAGTCTTTTGTGACTTACGGTGACCCTATGAACAATGGGTCTGCACCCTGCCCTATCCTGTGCCATCCTCACCATCTCTAGCATACTTGAGCCCACTGTTACAGTCACTACGTCAATCTATCTTGTTGCAGGTCTTTCTCTCTTTGCTTGATTTTTCCAAGCATGATGTCTTTCTCCAAGGACTGGCCCCGTCTAACAACATGGCCAAAGTATGTGAGACATTCATTTGTTGTTGGTATGTGCTGTCGAGTTGCTTGTGACTCATAGCAACCCTATGTACAACAGCTCTGAATCTTGCTCTATCCTGTGCCAAACTTACTATCTCTGACACACCTACCCTCATTACCCCAGTCACTGAATTAATCCATTTCACCGAAGGTCTTCCTCTCTTGTGTTATCCCTCTACCCTCCCAAACTTGATGTCCCTCTCCAAGGACTGGTCTCTCCTTGCAACATACCCAAAGTATTTCCGACAAAGCCTCAGAATCCTTGTCTCCAAGGAGCAGCTTGGTTTCACCCTCTCTAGGAAAAACCTGTTTGTTTCTCTAGCATGCCATGGTATATTCTCCAGCACCTTCTATCATCCCATTGTCCAGCTTTCTGACACATAACAAACAATTGTGAAGATTATAGCCTGGATCAGGTATGCCTTATTCTCCAGACTGACATCGTTGCTCTTCAGTACTTTGGACAAAGTAAAGCGTTCCTTAAGATGAAGGAACTAAACAACAGATTCAAGTTGCAATACTTAAGGATGCTTTGGGCAGAATATTAAATGATCCAGGAAGCATTAAAAGAAGATGGAAAGAGTATACAGAGTCATTGTACCAAAAGGAATTGGCAGACAGAAGACTTTAATGAAACAATGTATGAGCAAGAGCCTGTGGTCATGAAAAGTTTAAGCTGCTCTGAAAGAATGGCGGGGGGCGGGGGGGGGGGAAGCTTTCAGGAATTGACGGCATACTAATTGACATATTTTAACAGACACTGTCCTGAATGCGCTCACCAAATTGTTCCAAGAAATCTGGAGAACAACCACCTGGCCAACTGACTGGAAGAGATCCATATTTGCTCCTATTCCAAAGAAAGGTGATCCGACAGAGTGTGGAAATTATGAAACAATATCATTGATATTACATGCAAGTAAAATTCTGCTGAAAATTATCCAAAAACAACTGGAACAGCACATCAACAGAGAACTGCCAGATATGCAGGCTGGGTTTAGAAGAGGTCATGGTACCAGGGATATTATAGCTAACGTTAGATGGATCTTGGCTCAAAGCAGGGAGTACCGGAAGAATGTCTATCTGTGTTTCATTGACTATGCAAAGGTATTTGACTGTGTGGAGCACAACAAACTGTGGCTGACTCTGAGAAGAATGGGAATCCCAGAACACTTGATTGTGGTAATGTAAAACCTGTACTAGGACCAGGAGGCAGTCATCAAAACAGAGGAAGGAAACACTGTGTGGTTCAAAATCAGGAAGAGTGTAAGCCAGGGATTTGTCCTACCTCCACACATTTTCAATCTATATGCAGAACAGATTATCTGGGAGGCTGGGCTCTATGATGAGACGCTCATAGGTGACTTAAATTGCACAGGAGGAGATTGTCCATCTTTCTCTCTTGGATTCAAACTGCCAGACAAGCTCTGCCTTTGGGTTAGCAGCACAATTTTCTACAGACAATGCCACCAAAGCTTCGTACACGAGGATTAAATGTTTACCACTATCAATAAATACAGACAGATTGGAAGAAAAGTTAGTCATTGTTTTAAGGTTGTAGGTTAGGGGTATTTATTTTATATGTTAATTTTGAAGAATAGCATTATATTTACAATGAAATTATTATTGTTGTTGTTGTTGTCATTGTTATGTGCCCTCAAGTCACCTGTGTCTCATAGTCACCCTATATACAACTGAACTCTGCTCTATCCTGAGCCAACCTCACTGTCTCGGACAGTGTCTAAACATGTTACTCCAATCACTGAGTCAATCCATCTCATCAAGTGTCTTTTATTTTTTTTATTAAATTATTTTATAATGAAATTATTTTAAAGAATAAAAATTACTATCTCTTATTTGCATAATACAAAGGTAACAATACAGACCAAGAACTTATTTTTTTTTCAAAGAGCTAAATGGCACTAGCATGGAATACTACTCAGCATGCAGTAGCAATGATTTTGAAAATCACTACCTAAATTGAAAGTGATCAGTAAGCATTATGCTAAGTGAACTCAGTTCCATAAGGACATATACTGCACAAGTCCATTATTGTAAGCATGTAGAGGATCCATGGTGGGGAGAGGGTAGGAATAGAAGGGGGAAGTTGGGCAGGGGAGTAATCATAGGGTCATATAATATGATGGGTAGAGGGAGAGGTGGGTAAAGGATATGGAAAGATCTGATGTGAAAAACAATGTATACGAGCTTTGTAAATAAACCAGTATAAAGTAAAAATTGTACTTAAAATTAAACAAAGAGAAAAAAATTAAAAAAGAAAAAGAGCAAGATAGGCAATGGGAAATTCTGAGACAAAAAGAGTGACATTCTTGTTTGTTTCCTGAAAGTTGACTCATGAAGGCCCACTGCAGTTCTTCTGCAGTTCTTTTCCAGTTAGGTTAAAAAGTGAAAATGGCATTTGTCAGACTGTATGAGTTACTGTTGTACTAATAGAAAGGTTAGAGGTTGGAATTAACTAGCTTGCTCTGCGGTAGAAAAATGGGCAGTCTCCTCTCAGTAAAGATTTACAGTCTTGGACACTGGACAAGGAGTCTCTGTGCAGGAATCCAAAGGCTGACAGTGCCTTTTTGTACTTTGGCTTCTGCATTCTGCATTTGGGTTCTGCTTGTAATTCAGGAAAGTGAATTTATGGATTAGGTTGGTGCTTGTATGGAGAAGAAGTAAACAGAATAAGTAGAGCATAAAACAATTTAGAATGTAGAACTGATAAGACTTGGTGATGAATTTGATGTGGAGAGTGAGGGAGATGTCCAGATGACTCCTAGGTTTGTGCTCCTGCAGTACTCCTCAGAGATCTGTAGCTAGTCTTTCATAAAATACAAATAACTTATTTTTAAATTACAGGTAGATGTTGAATTTTATCTAATTCCCTCTCAATCTGTGGTCATATGATCTAAGGGATTTTTTTACTCCTCCATCCTATTAATAGGATGAGTTATATATAGCAGAACTTTTGTTTATAGAAAAAGTAACATTTATTATTACATGTTATTAAATTACATAATTAGTTCTAATGATGTTGTTATTGTTGTCTTCGAGTCGAGCCCGATTCGTAGCGACCCTATGAACAAAAGGCCTGAAGCCCCTCTACAATTATCGACATTTAACAAAGGAAGCATCTATAATGATAATTTTCAATATTTAATCTTCATCTTCCAGGAATACCGAGAGTTTAATTAATTAGTCCACTTAAGTGGTGCAATATTAGTTTAATGATAAATTCAACTTGTCCATGTTTGTTTCCTATTTTTTTGCATTTATTTTTGTAAATCGGATTGGTGTTTAGCTCCACCCACCCTCCTCGCCCGCCTCACACTGCCTTGTTTTTTGTTACTATGGTTGTCAGGTTTGGGTATCAGAATTTGTTTGCTTGTATTTCGAGAGTTAAGAAACCTTTGATGATTGACTTTCATTCTTTCAAAGTTTTCATAGCCAATCAATTACTAAGTACGCTAAGGACAACTGTCATACTAGGATCTGAGACTCTCGCAGTGTCCTAGTCTCTTAAATCCGCTGTGGCGCGGGCACACGTGTCACTGTGTGGAATGTTTGCTATTAAAGTGGCAGCCACTGCATCCCCTAAGGGTTTGGGGACATTTAGTAACCTCAAATCTTGAACTCGACAACTTTAAGGGGAGTGTCTTGGAAAGTTTCCTTTCTCAAAAGTATTCTAAAGGAAAATATCCTGGATGGTTTTCTCCGCGTAGAGTCACTCTGGTGACTGTTTCTTCCTAATCTGAGCTCTCCCAGCTCCCGGGCGCGTTGAGGAGCTAACTGAATCCGCAGCCACGTAAGCGCCCGGGCCCGGAGTCGGGATCGTCCGGGGCTGCGTCGGGCAAGGGCGCGCACCCTCCCTTGTCCCAGGCCGGCTATGGCGTCCCGTGCGGTGAGCAGCGGCCTTGGCGCCTGGGCGCCGGTGCTCTCTGGGGTCCCCCGGCCGCCGCCCAGCGGAGACACCG